CAAACCATGTCTGACTTTTATCATGTTGCACTGTTTAGGTCGGAGAAGACAAGTTGTCTTACGGTTATGGTGGCACTGGCAAAGTTTCTGTAGACAACAAGTTTTTTGACTATGGTGAGCCATACTCTACTAATGACACTATTTGCTGCTGTATCGACCTCGATTCTAATCCGAGAGTTGTGCTTTTCACCAAAAACGGAAAATACCTTGATGTTGCTTTCCGTCTTGGTGCTGAAGCAAGTGGAAAGGCGTTTTTCCCTCATATCACCGTTAAGAACATGCGCCTTACGGTCAATTTTGGCCAGTATGAACCATACTTTCCACCTCTCCAGGGATTTAGCTTCATCTCAAGACTACCACCACAATGTTTGCAACGTGGCTCAGCAGGTCCGGTGTCAAGGAGCGCTTGTGAAGTCATCATGATGGTAGGCCTACCTGCGGCTGGCAAAACCGTCTGGGCCGAGAAATACGCCCGTGGCCATCCAGAGAAGAAGTACTGCATCCTTGGGACAAACTCTATCATGGACAGGATGAAAGTTATGGGTTTGACGCGCAAACGGAATTATCACGGACGGTGGGATGCGCTCATTAAACAAGCTACTGACATCCTGAATAAAACATTAAAAATTACCGAGCTGAAGAATCGCAATTATATCCTGGATCAGACCAATGTGTATTTCAATGCTCGGAGAAGGAAGATGAATAACTTCCGTGAGTGCCGCAGGATTGCGGCTGTTGTTATCAACACCAACGAAGTTTTGAAAGAGCGAGCTTTGAAGAGAGAGGAGGAGGAAGGCAAGGTTGTCCCTGAATCGGCGGTCATGGAGATGAAAGCGAACTTTGTGCTACCTGAAGTCGGTGAGATTTTTGAGGAAGTGTGGTATATTGAAGAAGACAAAAATAATTCTGAACGTCTTGTAGCCGAGTTTCAGTCTGAAGGAAAGGCTTTCAAGGAAAATGAGAATAAACGAAAGCCAAATGAGGATAAAAGTTCATCCTCGGATGTCAAGCGATACCGTAACGACCAGCAAGGACCTTCTGTGCCTTTGCCAAGAGGATCACAAGGTCAATACCCAGCTCATAATGATCGTGGAGGTTTCCAGGGAAATTACCATGCGAGAGATGGCTCAAGCAATGTGCCTGGTCGTGTTCATCCACCGGGGAGCCAAGGAGTACCTGGGAGACCCTATAATGATTTTGGTCCTCCCCTGGGACACCCAAGACCAGGAGACCAATGCAGAGATTATGGCGGTGGTCCTCGCAAGGGGTACAGTAACCATTGGCGCCCCCAAGGAACATACAACTCTGGGCCTCAAAATAGGGGCAATGGTTATGGACTTTCTTACAGACAGCAAGGAAGCTACGGGAGTAGCTATGGTCACAATCAGGGACCGTCATATGTCTATTCTCCATATCAACCGCCCAGCAGTGGCGACGCTAGATACAACCAATCAGTGCCCGCATATGGTCAGCAGTATGGGCCAAATTATGGAAGCCAAAATAACCCACAACTTTACCCCAGGGATCATGGATATTATGGAGGGGGAGGGCAGGTGCCCCAGGGAGGAAGAACGGACCAGTATAGGTATGGTAGGGGTTATTAGACTTTCCCATTGCTAATTGTACATGAAGCACTGCAAACAAAAGCCGTTCGGCGACTACGGTGGCCTAGAACTGTCACGGCAAAACACCAATAATTCACGCCAAAACAAAATTAACTCACGGCAAAACAAAGAAAACGAGTTGGTCAGCGGTTGTTATTTGCATTTGAACATTTGAAATGGTACGTCGTGTAATAGTATAAACACACTCGCTCAAATAACCGCCATTTTTCGAGCTCACGATGTTTTGCTTCGCGTGTGGTTCGGTAGTGGATGAAGATGCAAACTTTTGTAAAAGCTGTGGTAGAGGTACGTTTTGTAATTCTAAGTGTTCGTATTCGCATTTCTTTTAGTTCCAAATAACGATAGGCGTGAGAAGCTACAAATTAGCTGACTAGCACGTATCTGGAATAAGATTGTGCATGTAGCCTGTGTGTAAAAAGAAAACATTCGTAATGATGAATTAAGGATTTTTCAACAGGTAGAAAATATTGTACGCCTGCAAATAGTCAGTCAATTATATTTTTTCTCTTTGTATTGTATTGTGTTGTACTTGTTAAAAGGTAGAAAAAGTGGCCTGTGTTCATCCCTATATTTTTGTACGTTGACGTTTAGACCAGGAAGAAGACTCTAGCAATGAAATTGAGGTGGAGATTGATGAAGAGACCATTATCAAATATTGTTTTCAACGCAGTTTTAGTTATGAAGAAATCATTCATTTCCTTGCTAAGCGTCATGACCATGAAATAAGTAACAGCAAACTTTTAAGGCGATTAAAAACATATGAACTCAAGAGAAGGAGTTTTTTAAGGCGGATGATTCTGGTGAGGTTTTAGAGGCAGTTAGAAAACGTATCCTTGAGATTATTCATGGACCTGGATCATGTGGGGGATACAGGACGGTATGGCACACATTAACGATAGAAGACTACCGAACCACACGCGGAGCAAAACATCGTGAGCTCGAAAAATGGCGGTTTTTCGAGCGAGCAGTGTGTTACTGTTACACGACGTACCATCTCTAATGTAAATAACAACCGCTGACCAACTCGTTTTCTTTGTTTTGCCGTGAGTAAATTTTGTTTTGCCGTGAGTAAACTTTGTTTTGCCGTGAGTAAAGTTTGTAGTGCCGTGACTTTGTTTTGCCGTGACAGTTGTGGGCCACCGTAGGTGACAGTAGTAATAAAAAGGTGGTTCATTATTAATAGGAAAGCTTTTAAAGTGGTTAATATTTCTGGTTAGCTTCACGTTACTAAAAACAAATTTGTCCCAGATCGACTAGTATTAATTTTTTAAGGATTTTACTTTTTAGAGGATTTTACGGAGCGCTGTGCTATAGTTGACTGAGCTTTCTACCTGTGTTTGCTTAGTAACTTACAACTCAACAGAAAAACGAACGCTGGTTTTTTCAACACTGTAATCAAATTTTATTGGGAGCTGATGACAACTCCATCTGATTAGGGAGAATATGTAAAAAGGCAAAATTGGTATCTAGCAATAATTTTCTGCGTGTGTTTTTGACTTATTTTAGTGTATATCGTCATAAGCCATTTAGTAAATATATATATATATGTATAGAAATTTTCGTATGTACTTATGTATGTATGTATAAGAAGCCAGTGGATAATTTACTGTTTCTTTTTCTAACTATTATTATTTCTTACTATGAGAAAGTAGTTTATTCGACTCTACAGAATATTCCTATCAGGCTGTTATTGATATTATGTAAGTTCCATACTCTCCTATAGCGAATGTGACATGAAAATACATGTTCAGTTTGTACGGTAATTGGAATTTGTGGTAGAATATTTCAATTATCTTACGGCAAGCTATAGTTCTATTACGTTAATCCGTGTGATAAAGAAGAAAGTAAATTGACTTTAAAGTCAAGTAGTGAAAGTGAGAGGTCACTGCTGTGAACTCTGGTTTCTCAATTTCAAACCTCAATTTAAGTTGCAGATTATTCGTTGCATGGTGGAATTGGTCTGCCATTTTCTCACCAGTTGTCGATGTAAATGTCGGCAAAATATCCTCAGTATAAGCATAGACACTGGTGTGAGGAGAGGGCAATGGTTTCTAGTCTGTCCATGAATAGGATGGCCAGATGTTAGAACCCATAGGTAGGCCTTCTTTCTGGCGGAAAACTCGACTATTGAAGAAGAAGTACATGTTGTTTAGCGTAACTGTCAGAAGGTCTATTATCTCTAGTTTGATGGGATGGAGTATTTGGGTATAATCTCTATCGTTTGGGTCGGTCATGATGATGGTGATGGCTTATTGTACGGGTCTTGAGGTGAACAAGGATACCATATCGAGGCTGCATGGATATGGTTGCGTTTTACTGGTGGTAAAATCGCCGGCTTGGATACACTTAAGCTCAAGGCTGTTTTCTAGATTTGCTAGGACGTCCTTCAGCTTTGGTTTAAGGGCATTGGCGAACAGCCATGAGATACGCTGGTTTGCTCCATTAGTGTTAGATATAAGGGGTCGTATCTTCATATCTGGACCAGTTTTATGGGTCTTGATGAGATGGTAGAACAGGGGAGATGGCGTTAGAGTTGATGAAGCTTTTCCGAATAAAGGGAGGGAAATGTAGGTAGATGCTTTTCCAAGTTGAGTTGACTTTGTTCAGCCTATAGAGGTATCATATGTTAGTGTTTTTTAAAGTACAAATAGGAAGTGACCACCTGTACAGTCGTCGATGCACTTCGTTATACTTCGACGGTTGAGTTTGAACATGAATACCCACCTTCAGTTACCCCTATGCGATTGGCTTTATCCAATGCCAAATTCTTTCCTTCTGATCACGTAATTCTTTCTTTTTTCCAACGCTATATACTGTAATTTTTGATTCCTTATTTCATTCTTTGACGCGGGAATATCCGATGGACATACCAGAGGTTTTAATCACTAACAAATGCAGCAATCACATCAATTCCTAGAGTATTTTTTGGTCAAATTCTCTCTGAATATTCAGATTACAGACTACAGCTCAATTACTAAACAATAATATATGGGCCGCAAACAACTATCTTTCGCCGTAAAGTTCGAGTTAAGTCAGTACAAATTAATTCTAGTTAGTCAACACGGCAAACTTAAAAGCATCGGTTTCATTATCGTTTGATAGTGCGACAAGAAAACTCCCTTTAATCTCTTTCTTTATGAATGAAAAGCATGCTATTTTAATAACCTGTCATCTATCAGGGCCGGTAATTAATATATATATTCCCACTGTATTGTTAGGAAACCCTGAACTCGAATAAAGCTTTGTAAAACGACCAAGAATGGAAAAAAGGGAAAGTGAAGGAAATTTAGTCGGTGGGAGGTGGTAAACAAAGAACCAATAGCACTAGGAAACACCTTTTTGATGCACCATAGGTATACACCAGCAACATAAGTTCTCGTTGAGAATTAATATCAGAAATACGATCGATCTCAGAGAACTCGTAAAGAACTAGTAATAATAGTCAATTTTTTCCTATACGCTGACGCAAATATCCTTTTACAATTCATCGTGATCACAATAAAATGTAGAATCAAGAACACTTTCCTTCAAACGTGATTCAGAGTGGTTCGCTTTCCTGTCCTTTCGTCGTTCATATTAAAATAAAGATTATCGAAAACAGCTCGTTCAACTATGTTATTTAGCTTCCTATTTCTTCCTATCCAATAACGTAAACAACGAGCGTTGGCTGATAATGAACGAACTCTACAGGTCAACTCGGAATATTGTGATATGATTTTAACTCGAGGAGGATCTAACTCCATGGGCAGCAAAGTGCTTGTCTGATTGTCTGCTTTACTGCTCGTCTTAGTTCACTAATCTTCCAGCAGTAAAGAAACGGGTTTAACGTCGAGTTGAGGTAAACTAAGGTAACTGCTACTCTCCGTGTGATGATTAAGTGTGATGTGTATGTTTTAGAATGGGCGACTACAATTTCCACTGTAGTGATTGGTGCATGACAAACAACTAATGCCAACTGCACCCACAGTGCACTGCATACTGCCTTTCTGTATCGGGCCATTTTCAGTGTATTTAGTTGGTTCGGCCGTTGTTGAAAAGGATCTGGATCTGGCCTGATGATATCGAGAGTAGGGAAAATTTTTCGATAAGAGGCGAGCGAAACGACCAGGCAAAGTGGTATAATTATGTAGCCGTACAGTAAGGTTATACGGTGATCAAAAATGATGCGTAAAGAAGCAACGAGATCGAAAACCCAAAAGGCGGCTACAATGAAATATGTACGCTTTAAAGTTACAATTTGTTGGTATCTCAGCCCCAACAACAGGGCGAGAAGTCTGTCTACACTTATGGCAGCCGTTGTCATCAAAGACACTCCACTTAATGCTAGGCCTGTTATGTAGACTGCGCCATTTACATAGCGACAAAGACTCCAGTGTTCGTGAACCATGAGCATCCAGTGACTAGTAGCGAGGGGCTGGCTAATAAGACCAACCAACAGGTCAGTTATTGCCAGACAACGATACAAGAGTTTGGATAGTGGATGAGGGGAAGATTCTTTATGAAGGGCAACAAGGATAAGAGAATTTCCAAGAAATGTTGTGATTGAGAGGAGAATTAGCACCGCTGAGAAAGAAACTGATTCGAGTTGAAGTCCCCCCATCAAAGAAGGGGAGCATAGCAGTTCATGAAATGTTTTGGTGTGTGTTCCTTCTCTACTGAAATTTGTTGTCGACATTTTTCTTTCATTCAGGTCATCTGTAATGGCAAGGAAATGTATTTCGTCAGTACAGCACCCTCCCAGCTGCGATTACTGAAACCTTACTTTCTTATTAAAACCATATAAAGACTTCCATATGACGTTTCTTCATTTAAATTGTTGGAGAAAATTCTCTGATCTGTCAAAAAATGAATTAGGTATTAATAAGTAGTATTAGGCAAACGAAAAGACACCTTTAATAAACTTTTTCATAACGCGACAAGCGATCCCTCTTAACTAAGATGGACCTATATTGATAAAGTGGAGATTAAGTGTTAATATAAACTATGAATTTTAGACTGAAAATAAAGTCTTCAAACTTTGCAGTGTACCTAAAAAGAAAAAAACAAAGAATTCGCGACGATCTCCCTATACATAAAATTATTCAGACCTAAACTTTGGTGGGAGATGCCTAATTATCTTGAAATATTTGAGTTTAACTTTGTAATTTATTTCGCACCGTTTTGTCTCCAATTAACAAATAGAGAAGCCTTGACTGTGCTC